AGTTCTAGTAGTTTCTTAGTGGGATTTTTATGGTTCTTTATGTGTAGTGTCATGTCATCTGCAATAAGACATTTTTACTTTCTCCTTTCAAATTTGGATGCCTTTTATTTCTTCTTCTTGTCTTGGTACGGCTAGTACCATGTTGAATAAGAGAGATGAAAGCAGATTATATCTATAGATTCAAAAAAAAAGCATTTGATAAAATCCAGAACCCATTTATGATAAATACTCTCACCAAAGTGGAAATAGAGGGAACATAGCTAAATATAATAAAGGCTGTATCCAACAAATCCACTGCCAGCATCATTCTCAATGGGCGAAACTACAAGCATTCCCCTTAAGATGGGGGACAAGACAGTGATATCCTCTTATTCATCGTTTATCTTTGGTTCAGGATACCTTCCATGATATAGTCAAAGGTCAATCCTCTGGTATACTGAGGAAGCAAGGAAAGACTGCAGACCAACTGTTACTTGTTTCCTTCTGCTAATCATTTAGTCATTTTTAAAAATATGAACTCCAAGAGGTGACGGTGGATAGTGATAAGAAATAATCTCTCAAATACAGACTGTTTTCACTTCACATAGTTCCAGGATACACGAATTCAGTCACCACAGTTCATTAAAAATACCAGTCCCTAACAGCACAGTTCAAATTTCTAACGACACATGAACTGTGAGTGATTGCATGAAGTACAAACTGCTCTTATCTCTTCAGCCCACAGATTACTATATAAATAACAGAAACACATTATAGTTTATGACCAGATCCCATGGCTTCTTTCAAAGTCTGGTGGTGATTGATCACTGAACATCTATTCAGTTCATATAGACAGCAAAACCCATGGTTCTGTTGCTGCTCCCAGTGAAAAAATTCATGGAATATTTTTCAAAAATACACAATTGAAAGAGGAAATTGGCTCAAAATGATGGAAGTGCAGCAAAAAAAAAATAGAGTGAAAAATATTGGAAGTGGCATTTGAATCAAGCATACATTTATTTATGGATGAAACAGCCGACTGTGGGAATATTGACGGAGCTAGAGTTCACGACACTCTAGATGTGCAGCCAGAGAGACTTATGGAAGGTGACGGTAGCAGCACACACACAAAAATGGCTGTGAGGCCTGGGGTGAAGTTGCATCAGAGAAAGTGGTGCCACTGAAACATCTCATGTTAAAAGAAGAGTCAGAGATGACACTAAAAGTACAAAGTAACATTTTGGAAACTGATTCAAGCTTACAAATTTACACATTTCCTAAGGCCTAGAAAAAATTTGTGCTGCATATAAGAAGTTATACACTTCCAATAAGAAGAAAAAGACAATCAGAGTTTAAAGTACTTCTTCAGTTTTTCACAAAGAAGTTAAAACTTGAAATTTCCATGTATTAAATTGTAGTATACTAGGAGAGGGTTTTTTTTTGAAATTTTTTATTGTTTTCTATTACTGTTTAATCCCCTTATAACCTCCTCCCTCACCTCCTCAGTCACCACACTGTTGTCCATGTATGTGACTCCTGTTTCCTTTTTTCTAAATCCCTCCACCCCCTCACTTTCCCAACCTTAGCTGTCATTCTGCTCTCCACCTGAGTTGTCTCTATTTTGCCTGTTCAGTTTGTTCATTAGATACCACATATAAGTGAAATCACATGATATTTGTCTTTCTCTGACAGATTTATTTTATTTAGCATAATGTTCTCCAAGTCCATCCATACTGTCACAAAGAGTAAAATTTTCTTCCTTTTTATGGCCAAACAGTATTCCATGGTGTAAATATCCCATAGTAGTTTTACTCACTCATCTACTGATGGACACTTGGGCTGCCTGTGTATCTTGGCAATTGTGAGTAATGCTGTAATAAACACAGGGGTACTCATGTTCTTTCAAATTAGTGTTTTGGGTTCCATCAGATATATTCCAAAAAGTGGGATTCCTGGGTCAAAAGGCAGATCCCTTTTTAATTTATTTAGGTACATCCATTCTGCTGTCCACAGTGGCTGCACCAATCTACATTCCCACCGACGGTGCAAAAGGGTTCCTCTTTCTCCACATTCCTTGCCAGCAATTATTGTTTGTTGATTTATTGATAAAAGCCATTCTGAGATGTGCAAGATGGTATCTCATTGTGGTTTCATTTTACATTTCTCTGATGATTAGTGAAGTTGAGCATCTTTTCATATGTCTATTGGCCACATGTATGTCCTCTTAGAGTTTTTTAAGTTTTTAACAAAAAGAAGTTCAAGGTTATGGAACAATGGTAATCCTTACCATTGTTTAATTGTAATGTTTTTCATTTATTATTAAGATCACATACCACAACCTCAACTCAGCTTGTACACACACGACATCATATACATACATATATATATGTATATATTATATATATATAACACCTATCCTGTATTTTTAACATATTTAATACCTGCACGGTTTCATTTGTATGAATTTATAATTTGACAATTTTTATTTGTTTCAAACTGCAAATTCTTTTACAAATATTGTATGCAAAAAATAAGTTTTATTTCAAAGTATTCACTGTGTACTAAGCACTGTTTTAAGATATTTATGTATTTCCTTTGATCTTCATGTTGACCAAATGATGTATGTTTAATTAGTGTGTGGTGAAGTGAATATTTAAGTAAAGAAAATCTGAATCCAGGGCTTATGTTCTTAAGTACAAAACTAAAGGGCTTTTTTTTTTTGAGAATTCTATGAGTTTACTTGGACCAAAATTGAAGATGTAGGCTAGGGACCAAGATCTCAAATGCTCATCTATGTTTTATTTTCTTTTTTCAAAAAATGTATTTATTTATTTTGTTGTTGTTTAAGTACAATTGCATCCATTTTTCTGCCAGCACTTTCCCCTGTACCACCCGCCCCCACCCCCACCTTCCACCCTCAATCCTAACCCCCTTTGTCTTTGTTCATGGGTCCTTCATATATGTTCTTTGGCAACCCTTCCTCTTCTTTCCCCTGTTATCCTCCTCTCTGATCCTCTCTAGTTACTGTCAGTTTGTTCTTTATTTCAATGTCTCTGTTTATCTTTTGCTTACTTGTTTGTTTTGTTGATTAGGTTCCACTTAAAAATCATTTGGTATTTGTCTTTCACTGCCTGGCTTATTTCACTTAGCATAATACTCACCAGTTCCATCCATGCTGTCACAAAGGGTAGGAGCTCCTTCTTTCTTTCTGCTGCATAGTATCCCATTGTGTAAATGTACCACAGTTTTTTGATCCACTCATGATGTTTTGTTTTTATTGGAGATTTTAAATATTCACAAGTTGGAAGTTCTTAAATGTATCTGAATAATTTTATTAAATGTAGAAGTTTTCCTTGATGATTTTGTAAAGTATAAATTTAAATATAATGCATGCAAATCTCACTTAGTGTCATATTTACCTATTTTTATATATTCAAAGAACATTTTCAATATGATTCTTCATATTTATTTAGATGATCTTATTGATCATTATATTATTTAAATTGTAGGTATGTATTTCTAAATGTTAAGTACATTTGGAACTAGAAACTGCCTCAGACCAGTGTTTCTGAGATGCAACATATGAATTACTTCACTTAGCTTATGAGAGTTGTTACGTAAGGTGAATATCTGTACCTGTTATTTACTGAACAATTGAGGCTCCAGTTCAATAATCAACAATTTTACCTCAGTTCCAACCAGTTAATTCTTCTGTGCTCTCCAGTTTATGAGCCAGCTTCTTAGACATTATTTAATTAACCTTATGTAGAAATTATGTTGGTAAGGAAACCGAAGCTCCCTTATACTTTTTTCCTTTTATTTAAAATGTGTTTACGGTTATTTCTTTCATACTTAGTAAGGCTTTGCAAAAGAGTGCATTTTTAAACTAAAGATTGGTAACAATATTAATATCCAAATATAGGTTTAAATCATTTCACATATTTTGTTTTCATTTTTTAGATTTACCTATGTCTGATAGAATTATGTTGTTTGACTTATAGTGTAGTTCTCAAGTGAATCTGCAATTCCTTGTTATTTTTCTCCCAAAAATTTAATAGATATTAAATATTAAACATCAAATATTTATTTATTATATACAATATGTATAAAGTATATAAATATATTTGTATATTTAAATATAAAATGTTAAACATCATCTCAATATTAAAATATTGGCATGAATTACACTTGAATACTCTAACAGTAGAATGTTTATAAATAGAATTGTTTACAAGCTTAGTTTTAATAACAAATATTAATAAATTATTTGCATAAAAGGTGGTCAAAATTTGGAGTAAGTTTCTATTTTTGTCCATCTTGCAACTCGTGTTAGCAATACTTGAATGATGAAATAATCTATTCTTTCTGAAGGTTCACTTGGCTCAGTGGAATAAGTATGAGTTTAGGGTCATCGAGACCTTAATTTGAATGTGCTTATAGCCAGTTATTACCTGCGCAAATTTAGAAAAATATTTAACTTTTATTTTGTAATTTTTTCATATGTAAAATGAACAAAATGCACATATAAGAAATGGATGTTACAAATATCAAATAAGATGAGATAGATATAAAATGACTTTTACCTAATCAGTGTTCGACAGATGTTGGTTTCCTCTCACCCCCTTCTACCAGTGTTTCCTGGGCTGACTGATTTCTGTTGTCCTATCCTGTCCTGTCGCGAAGCCTCTCCAGTTCTGAATCCCAAGCTGTCTCCCCACCCAGGCCCACTGTCACTTCACCTTTTGTCCCCCCTCCCTCTGTAAGGCGTCATGTGCAGTGGGATACCTGGTGATGAAAAGTCATCACGTGGGCCAGACCGCTCACTGGAGAGAGCCTCCTGTTGGCCTTGCTTCCTCCTACTCGTAGTGATGGCTGGATTTCCCTGGTTGAGGTTTTCTTGCCCCAACGTCTTTGTATATGGGCTTCTACAGATTGAAATTTTGTTTTGATTAGTCATATTTAAAATGAGATATTAGCAATGTAAGTCCAGTTTGAGACTTATGTTTTGATTTTTTTAATAGGCTCCAAAACCAAGGAAGGAGTGGTTCACGGTGTGACAACAGGTAAGCTCAACGGGGTTTATACCCAGGGGTGATGGGGCAGTGCCCTGTGAGCTGCGGGGAGCCGCCGCCAGTCACTGGGGATGTGGCTGTGAACAGCCCCTGCACCTGCAGAGGAGCGGTCTAAGGAAAATCAGCTCTGTGTAATCTTAATTCTTTATTAAATATGTTTAAACAGATAAATAGTTATTGTGAATAAAGCAAACAATGTATTTAACTGTCAGGAATGATGACTCTGAAGTGACCAGCTGTTTAATTTACAAAGTAGTATAGAAATGGAATATTCTGACTTAGGTCAGGAGTTTTCTACCTACAAAATCTAAGGAAAATAGCCCTGGCTGGCATAGTTCAGTGGATTGAGCGCGGGCCTGTGAACCAGAGTATCGCGGTTCGATTCCCAGTCAGGGCACATGCCTGGGTTGCAGGCCAGTTCCCAACAGGGGACTCATGAGAGGCAACCATACATTGATATTTCTCTCCCACTCTTTCTCCTTCCCTTCCCCTCTCTCGAAAAATAAATAAATAAAATATTTTTTAACAAAATCTAAGGAAAATAAATTTCCCCGCTTAGGTAACATCAAGATAAAATCCACAAAACTCTACCAAAACCCCACAGGACATTATTATTTCAGTTGTCACCTTCATGTATCACATTATAGGAAAATATGATAGTGTAGTTAATATGGACTTACTGAATGATGTCTTTGAAGTTGCTTTAAAGATCAAAAAATAAATTATATCAGCTTAATCATTTTCCCCTAATAAATATAGGGTGTATAGAAATTCCTACTATTGGAGATTTTTTTGAAGGCTTTGATTCTTATAAAAAGAAATTTACTATATATAATGAATACACTTAATTTTCAACATGTTCCAATTTAAAGTTTCTTATAAATTGCTTTATAATACAGTGTTCTTTATTTTTTACAAATTTTTAATTTGTATACCAATTCAAAACTATATCTTAATTGTAGAATTTTGCTTAATGTGAAAGGTTAGATTTACTATATTCTAAAAGTTGGTGCCTTTTTCCTTCCCAGAATTTTATTAAGTTAGTTAAAGTCAAATATAAATTTAATTATTGATGTTAATATGTTGATCGCGGATATACAGGAAATTCTTTTTAATGAATTTAAAATTATTTATTGAGTATCTACTGCAAAATTAAATATAAAGAAAAATAAAACAGGATCTCTAATCTGATGACCTCAGAATACACTGGCGGAGGTAGACAGACACACTGGGAAACGATGGTGCATCATAAAGGGCTCAGTAGGGGAGATGCATTTAAAATTTCATGGAATCACAGAAGTGGAGACCAGGACACTTGTTGAGAGGAGAGGTTTCTGTGAAATTTGGCAGTTGAGGTGGGTGTTAATTCTGACACCAGCTTCTGACATAAGCAGACAGAGGGCTGTCTAAAAGAAACCACAGCTCCCCACTGGGGCTCTGTGAGCCGGGTAGGAAGACTGGCACACTTGGAGAAAAAAGTAAGCATTTCAAAATATAATAACACCAATTGGTTGGGAAGGAAGTATCCTGTTTGACCCTGGTTATAAGGTTTTACCCTTAATAAAATGCACTTATTAGTTGCAAAATGTACTAAGTCAAGTGTGTTGCTTTTCCTTTTGTTTTTCACCCTTTGGTTGAGATGTCAATGAACAGAGAAACAGTGTAAAAGACTAAATGGAAAAATAAGAGTCAAGGTTAATGGATAAATCCACTAGATAAATCAAGTCCTACAGAAAGTTTTTAAAATGTATTTATTATTATTACATGTATAACGTCATTTTGTAATGCAGGTCATTTAGGTATTCTTAAACCCTAATGAAAGTATAGTAAAGTACAAAGTACATTTTATCATGAAGCTTATGTTCATTAAACTAGATTAAGTTTTATATATACATATATAAGTACTATAAAAATAAATGGCAAAAATTATGAGTCTGTAAAAAGATAAAAAATTACTTTTGTCTTCGTGATTTTGTAACAAGAAAATGTTAATTATCAAGCAAAATTTTCTATCCATGTTTCTGGGGATAAAAATGACCCTGGAGCACATTAACTGCATAATAAAATGTACTTTTTATGTGCTATTTTTAATGGATAAATACTCAGAAATGCTTAGAAACACAAAATTTCTAGTACAGCTTTTCACTGGCATTTTAATTGGACTTTGCATTGGGAACAGCCGTTACTCCTTCCGAGGCAGCAGCAATATATCCCAGAGGTTGTAAAAGGCTCATACTCAGCAGCACCTGCTGGGTGCTCTGCCTGGTTTTAGACTCTAGGGCCACTCCTTTCCTCTCCTATTGCCTAGGACCAGGAGTAAGCCTTCATCCTTATAGACCCCCATAACGTCAATGACCTAGTAGTATATTTGAAACCCAGTTGCTTTGTCCACACTGTTTAACCATTGGCCTTGCCCAACTGGTGACATGAAATCTGTACAATAATCATATGGCTGGCCGATAAGACCTAGCAGAGGACATGGTAAAACTCCGTGAGTTCCTCAGACTGGGAGTTATCCAGAGAGTATGCATACAAGCACAAAATATAGTAAATAAAAGTGTCTCTATTTGCTTAGGATATAGTCTTCAAGAAAATATCACCCCAAACCCCAATTTCCAGAAACATGGGGAAAAAAGCAGACAAAAAGTGCGTTTGTGGAACAAAAAGAAAGGAAGGCAAACATTGCATGGGTAGCAATAAGAGATACAAGGCCTAGGTTTTATGAGCAAGATGTTACAAGGTTTAGGTAAAGGGAGGGTATTTTATTTCTGTATTGACTTTGACATGATGAAAAGAGCAGATTCTCTTGTTCTTTGCCTCTCTATCATAGAGCTCTTTATTTAGCCAAAACAGCCTTCTTAATCTGTGCTTTAAAAAAATATATATTTATTTATTTATTTTTAGAGAGAGGGGAAGGGAGGGGGAAAGAGAAGGAGAGAAGCATCAATGTGTTGTTGCCTCTTGCACACCTCCTACTGGGGAACCTGGCCTGCAGCCCAGGCTTGTGTCCTGACTGGGAATCAAACTGGCAACCCTTTGCTTCACAGGCCAGCACTCAACCCATTGAGTCACACCAGCCAGGGACATTTGTGCTTGCTTTATTTGGTAATTGCATGGAAGGAACATGAAAAGACTAATTCAGCAATTATATCGAAGAGTGTCTTGGAGAATTTTTGACATAAGTTTAAATCTCTGCTTCTGCATCCAATCCTAAACTGCTGATACTATTTTCTAAATTATTAGCTTATGTTAAAAATCTACTGAAGAGCCATATTTTAATTTGTTTTGTGAAAAGAAATTTTAAGTGTGTTCAACAAACCTCTTCAAAATCAGTCATATTATTGAGTCCTTCTGTTTCAACTACCTGCACTTTGAAGGAAGGATTGAAGGTCCCTCATAATCATCCCTCACTGTACTGTTTAATTCTGATAGTGGTGTGTATGAGCATGGATGTACCATGTGACTCAGAAAGGGTGTTGAAAATGAGTCTTTTTAGAGTGATAAAAGAATTGGCACTGAAATTGAAATAAAGAAATAAATTTCAGGCTGAGTCTGCTACAAGTGTAACTGCATCTGTAAGCATAGCTTTCTACAAACTTTCCTTAATGAAAGGCAAACCAAGCTCACATTGCTCATGGCAATAAATTTGTGATCATTAAATGTGAAGTAACTTCTAGTGATCAAGCCAAAATATCTTAGCAAAGATTTAATATTTGTGTCCACGCTCACTTAGAAATCTCTATAGCTTTTATTTCTTCTGACCCTTCAGCTGTCTGTGATATTATTGTAAGTAGAGGTCTTTAGAACTTGACAGCTAGTGGAAGTAAAATTTTAAGTTGCTGTCATTCCATCATCTCTTAATCTGTTATTGCTCTATCCCAGTGGCTGAGAAGACCAAAGAGCAAGTGACAAACGTTGGAGAGGCGGTGGTGACAGGGGTGACAGCAGTTGCACAGAAGACAGTGGAGGGAGCAGGGAACATTGCAGCCGCAACTGGCTTTGGGAAGAAGGACCAGTTGGGCAAGGTACGGCTGTGTTCATTTTATGTTACACTGGTAGCTTGTGAGATCACAGAGTGTTTTTGTGCAAGGCTCTAGACAGGAATAAGATGCCTACTTGGGAGGGATGGCAGGCCCTCCCCAACAGAAAGGACTGCTTTTATGTGAGTGTTGTTTTTTGAGGTACCAACCCAGATAAATGCCATGAAGATTGTACAATAATCATGATTGTTTCATTTCCTGGAATAAAGTTCATGAAATAGATGCAGTTATAAATGCAACAGTGACATTTCGGAAAGAATGGATGCTTTCATGTTGGCCATGAATCTTGGAATTTCTCTTTATCAGACTGTAACAAATCACTTTGTGCCTATTTTCTAAATTTTCAAAATGAAGATCTTTTACTTGGTTTCTTTGTAATGACATCCTATTATATGATGTATTCAAATATCATGAAAGAGTTTATTGCCAAATAGATCTCTGGGAACTGAGGTACTTAAAATGCATCACAATCAGAAACTGTGGTTTTGGATGATTTAAAAATTCTTAGAAGAATTTTGGCTTTGCATTCTTCATCCACCTGTGACTCTAGTACAATTATATAAAATATATCATGACTTTCTTTTTAACCAGGAAAGTAATCGTAAACAAGGTGTCAAATGTAGGATAAAATTTTATAAATTTAATGACCACAGCAGCAGAGTGATTTTTGCTCATTCCCTGCCACAGTGGCCTCCCTGCTATTCCTTGAACAAGTCAAACATGCCCTTGCCCTGGCTTCTCCCTCTGTCTGAAAAGCTCTTCCCCAGGATCATGGGCTTGGCTAACTCTCTCGCTCCTCATGCCTTTGTTCACGGCACCTTCTCAGTGAGGCCTGCCTGCACCTGTTTACAGTGGGCACTGTTCTCCTCACCTGGGGTAGTCCTGATCTCCCTACCCTTTATTTTTTCCCTTTTTTGCTAAAGCATTATCACCTTTAAAATAGTAAATAAGTTATTTTATATGTATGTTGTTTATCTTATTTATGCTTTAAGTACAGTGAGGGTAGAATATATTTTGTTCAACTATATTTCACAAGGGTCCAGAAACTTGACTGACATGTAGTAGACAATTGATGCATATTTATTAAATTAAGGAGAAAAGGGAGAAAGAAATAGGCAAAGTGACTTTCAGTTTTGTGTATTTAATGATTATAGAGCTAGCAAGTGTGGCTATTCAGGCATCCAAAATTTTTAACTGACAAAGTTTTGGAATAGATATCATGAAAATGGTAAGAAAGTAGCCTTGTTTGCTGGCGAACTGCTCTGAGTTGTCTCCACTCCATGTAATTCTGTGCAGCAGGCCTGCCTTGATGGGTCATGGCAACATTGATAATGTAAAGATAGGACTAACAACCTGAACATATTTAGATTTTATTGCATGGAATTGTATTGTCAGGGGCAATTGATGCTAATTATGGAAAATGTGGACCGGGCTCCTAGTGAAGTTCTTTAGCTAGTACTTACATGTAAGGCTGGTAAGAGTAGTACTCCTTTGTGAAGAATATGCTTTTCAAATACTCTTATTCCTTGTGATAGTAAGTATACGAATTCCCTTTTTCTACATGAAATCAAAATTATATTTATGGCTTTATTACCTTTCAAAAGCTAGAGGAGACTTAAGATATTAGTATAGAGATAATTAACCAGTATCGTGTCTCGGACCCTGTGGCCAATCCAATAGAAGCTATGTGCCATCTTTCTCCCATTTTCTTGAAAATGCATACTTGCTTACACACACCAAAAGCTGAGTGGGATTGAGGAAGGCTGTTGGCAGACAGAGCCCATGACTGAGACCAATCCCCTGATTATAGTTGAGAAATGTGAAGTCTACTGGGAGCAGTAAGCGGTCCACGTTCACACAGACAGCCGGAACAGACTGCGGTGCTTTCCCATCCATTATGTCTCTGCCCCAAGCACTTTCTTATAAACTAGCTTCCTTTGGATTCTTATAAACTGACGTGTGACAACCAGTTTTAACTGGAGAAATTCTTTGTGGTAGAATAAAAGAAACTAAGGAAACGTGCACCCCGCCCCTTTAAAGCTTGCGATGCCAAATGCAAACAAGGCATGAAAGTTTTTATTTCTTACAAAGTTGGGCTTGTGTTTTACCCATCTAGAATACCACTATTTATTTGAATATTTTAAGGCAGAAATCTAAATAGTGTGACAAAATTAATCATTTCCCCTTTGGGGTACTTTTAGATTCTTAGAAATTTCTGATATAAAAATGAAGCCATAAAACCTAGAAATCTCAACATGGTTGTAGGGAAAACGAAACAAAACATTGAACTGGAGTTAAAATGGCGGACTTCATCCTGCTCTGTTACTGACTGACTGGACGACCATCTGTAGATCTCCTGACTCTTTCCCATCAGATAAGGAAACTACACTAGAAAATTGGTTAAAGCACAACTTAGCAATAAAGTTCTGAATTTCTATAGCTTCTATAGGAAGATACCAATAAACTTCTTTCATGTGGTCACATCTATGGGGTGCCAAAAAAGATAACTAGGGAGTTTAAATAATGTGATTGAATTCATCCATTAGAAAATTTGAAATAATTTAATTTTATCATTCAAATTCTGATCAAAGTGATTCTGGTGAATGGAAATAAGTAATTTATTGTTGTTTTAACCATTGGTTGCTTATGCCATTGAGGAAGTCATGCTTTAAGAAATAATGCTTATTCACTGTGTGCCAGAAACTTTGCGAGATATTGAAGTTAAAATAATGAGAAAATCTTACCCTGTCTGTCTCTTCATTTAGCATGTATTTTAGTGATAAAGATCAGTACTAATCATCACATAATAAGTGTGCAATTTTTAACTGTGGTAACTGCTATGGAGTACCTAATGCTGAGAATAGCTAAAAGGTAACTTAACACAGATCTTGCAGGACAGGGGCAAGAGAGTGCACCCCAAAGGCTTCCCTGAGGAAGTGTGCTTGAACTGAGGTCTGAAAAAGAAAAAAAATGACTGGCAATTAATAAACAAGCACGAGTTGAAGGAAAACATTCCAGGCACAAGTGAAAACATGAGGAAATGTTATGTGTTGTGAGCGGACAGTAGCAAATTACAGAGGGCTGTGTTGGGAGCCAGAGGAAATTAGGAGGAAGAGACTGGAGAACTGTGCGGGGCCACAACATGGCTGTCTTACAATAAGAATGCTGGTCATTATTTTAAGAATAAAGGACCCTATTAAAGCTTTTAAAGCAAGTTTTATGTCAAGTTGTAAGTTTACGTGTTAAAAACATGTCTCTGCCTCAATGGAAGGCAACAGATTAAAGGATGCTCACAGTGGTAACCAGGGACATTTAGTGGGTTGTGATAGAAAGAGGAGATGACTATATATACCAATAAAATACAGTGTTGATGGAGAAAAGGAAAGAAATGGGTTAATTCAAAGATTATGTAGAAGATAATATCAACAAGATTTAGTGATATATTTCATGAGGTCTGGGAGAAGATGGATGTGACAAGTAGGGCTACTAAATTTTAGCTTGTAGAGTGGATTCATGGCAGTGCTGTTCTCCTGGTGGTCTGAGCCTCTCTTGAAGACCAGGAGCAATTCAAGAGGAACAGCTGCGTTAGTGTTCAGCCTTCATGCCTTTTAAGGATATTTGGCCCATAACTCTGATTGGGGAGACAAAGCTTTCTTCCTTCCCTCTTTCTCCCTTCTTTTCTGTCTTTCTCCCATTCTGTTCTTTTTGGGTTTGTTTGTATTTAACCAAGAGCTCTAATAAGCTCATATATCATTTGTCTCTCTTTTGTTGTTTTGCTAAATTGATCTCTTTGTGAGGTGCTGTATTTGGCGTATGTCTCTTTTTGATGTTAACAGGGAAAAATGACCTAAGCATTTTTGTGAATTTCGTCATACAAATGAAGCCACCCTTAAAAATAATTTCTAATTGTGAGATGTTAGATTAAAGGACAAATAAGATGCCTTGAATTTTATGTACTTATTTTATCAAATATTATTAGCTTCTCTATTTAATATATCAGAATAATACATCTTCTGATCTATATTTTTACCTGTGAGCACAGAAGTGGTTATCAGCCATATAATTTTTTTTCTGAAGCTCATTCATTTGATTGGCATAGTAGAAACAGACTACAAATGCATCAGCAGGGGTATTCAAGTTTTAAGTTCAAATAAACAGTGATATTATATGGAGAAAATTTGTTTCCCACTGAGAACAAGTGATCTCCTAGTTCCAATAATATTGTATACGGAAAGTAACTTGACAGGAGGTATTCTCTAGTCCCACCAAGTTTAAAACACACAGCTCATCACTAGGACATTTGTTCCATCTCAACTCTTCAACAGAGCTTTGCATGTGGTTCTGCTCAGTTTCTCGCTGGACACATGAGTGCTTCTCTCATGCCCTCCGAATGCCTTACAAGAGTCGGACCTTCAGGATCCCTGAAGTTTATATTTTTGTTATTTTCTAGATTTACAGAGAGTGAAAGTCTTGAATAAATGACAAATCTGCTACCTAGTAAATAGTATGGCAGTCAGCTTCATTAAACACATTCCATGGAGGCACTGACCAATCTACATAGAGATTAATAGCTTTCATGAAAGAAAAAGTTTAAATATTTATAGCCTCAGATTTTTGATGTACTCGGGTTCATATATTTTCTCTGTATTTTTTTCAAAATTAGAAGGAAGTTCCTAAACAGTGCCAATGTGGAAATATTAGATCAGATTATAAACAACTTTTACAATCTCCAGCACAGACCAATATTGATTTCAAGTGAATAGACATCTGTATATTCTGTAATGCTGCCGTAATTCACAAGAGGATAGCTAACCAAGTATCTGCTCGATGAATAAAACAAATCAGGATAGAAAAATATTAGGTTTGACATTATGATCTATAACATTTAAGTGTCCTTCTGCTTAATTCCTTTGACTTACTAGAGCTCTCATGTTTAGCTTGATGCAAATTTATTTTTAAACACTGGAGTGTTATGGACCATCTGA